TGATTAGTAGAATAAAAGGTGTCTGTGGAATAAACTTTAGCTGCTGTTATTCACAAATGTATTACATGTATTGTGTGCATTGCAGGAAGTTTCACAGTTTATATATATTAGTATTATTTCATATTAATTATATTATTATTTTATTATTATATATTATTTCATAGTCAACTTATCATAGTTTTTGAGTTTAAAATTATTTAGTTATTGTTTCATGCAGTTGAATTAAAGAATTTTGAAATAAAAATTATAAGTTGTTTTGAGATGAAATCATGAATCAGTCTGTAGAGGGGGCTCAACTCTCATTCATCATAACAGATTTTTAATTTTTATCATACAGATTACTTTTCGGCGTTTTTTTAATCTGCTTATTTTTTAGAATGTAATCCCCTGTAATAGTTCTGTGTATTCCACTATGTAGAAATTCGTGTATGTATGAATTGAAATATACGACATGTGTTTCACCATGTAGTGGTAGAAAGCTTTACCTTGTTACTAACAAATTGCTCGAACTAAAAGTTAGGCAAAACGAGACGGAACTTGCGAAATCGTTAAATGTAGACAGATGATTGTGAAATGAACTACTTTGAAGGATAAAGAGGAAACTTCTCTTTTTCACTACTTCATAAACTATTGGAGCAATATTTTTAATATCTCTCTCTCTGATCTATTACATGGATTGTTCAGTGATTCACAAGCAGTAAAAACGAGACTTAGTTGGAGTAACAAATTACGTTGCATATGTATATATTTGTATGTCTTTACATAAATATTTATGATCGTTGCGGAAATGTGACCAGAATGCCTAGCTCTTTCGAGCTTTAACCTCTTATCATCAGGATTTTTAATAAATTTTAATATGATCTTGTTTTGTTTAAGGATCCATACGTTCAGAACCGTGATTTTTCAAGGCGTAAAATGGAAAAATATTTATGATATTTTGTTCCAAATTAGAAAATGTATATAAAATTGTTTTAAGAATAGTATTACAAAAATAAAAAATTATTTAAGTACAATATTTTGACACAAAATGAACATAGAATGACCCATTTTCAAAAAATTCTTCTTTTTAAAAAAAGCTTCTATTATAATAATATTTTGCCTGTAAAAGTCAGACCTTTTTACAAACCAACTAAATTTTTAAATTTATAACTTAGAAGTGGGTTTATCCATGTTTTACGACAACAGAGGGGGGAAATTTTAAGAAAAAACGGCGATAATTTTTTAATGGGTTGTATGTAACCCGAAAAAAATGCGAATTTTCAAAAAAAAAAAAATTCAGCTCTCAAGTCTTTTCTTTATATAAAGAGGACGCGCGCACAAAAACAAAAATTTTTATTTTTGAAGCATTTTTTAAAAAGGAAAAAAATTTTGAAAAAAGTTTATTTTAAGTTAATTTTAAAATATTTATTTTTAAAAAATTTTTTTCAAAATTTAAAAGTTTTATATATGCTTTCTAATCGTGACCTAAATATCTGAAAAATTTTCCATTTATGCCTTTTTAAAATCACGGGTTTCCGAACGTTTCTACCCTTAAAAAAATATTGATATACGTAATCCCTAAAATCTTTTTTTTGATGTTGCAGTTTGGATGAATTTAAAATTTGAAACGTTTTTTATGATTATAAGCTTGGAAAAATATAAAACATTAAAGGGTCCAAAAAAAAATTTTTCTTTGGGGTAAAGAAAACTCATTTTATATCAAAATTTCTTTTTAAATTTTAAAATTTTTTTTTTATCTCTTCTTTTAACTATTTGTAATCAACAGGAAATTATGCATAATTTTATGCGGTATTAATTCGATTTATTTGGATTATATCATATTTGAAAAACAATCTAAATTGTGTGTGTTATTGAATGAATGAATATGAAGATAAGGAATGTTTTTATCAGACTGTACTTTTAGAAACATTTCTCAAAGATCTGAGATTCCATTACAGATTATACCTTAAATAATCATAAAAATTAAAAGATTGGTACTTATATTTTTATATATCTTCGAAATATATAGTTAAAACCTATTGGGCTGTTAATGTTATGAATTTTTGGGATAAATGATAAAAAAAAGACATATTAACAATATTGAAAAAAAAATTAGTACACCCTTAATTTTCTTTTAAGTCCTTTTATTTACATTACGATGGATATATATATTTCAAATATTGCATTTATGCAATAAAAGTAAATTACAAATTCATTGAGTTTCTGATGGTTTTGCATATTATGTTCACCATTTCTTAGTTTTCTTTATTCTTTCAAAGTTGGCAAGAGTGAGAGAGCACCAGTTCACTAATAAAATCCCTACTGTAAATTAAGTATTTATCAGGATTCTAATTTGGGTCTTCAGGCGTTTTTATTATTTATCAATAACTCTCTTGATTGTTTTTGAATTTGTTCTGATAATTGCATATGATTTTAAAGATCACGGATTATTCTTTTAAATCTGATAGTGTGCAACAGTGGGAATTTGTTGCTCCATCTTCGCAGCGATATTGAAACAGTCTGCTACTAGAAGCGTCAAAATGTTTTTGTTTGTGATGTAAAACGTGTCTGGGCTGAATTACACAATGAAAGTAGCATGAAATTTGCATCATGTGTAGACCGCAATAAGATATTTTTTTTTTTACTTGCGGAACACACGCAAATCGTGCACTAGTATCTTCACCTACAAAGTATTTTTTTAAAAAAAGTTGTTTTTAATTGCTAGAATTGTATTTTATCTCTGTTCTTGGTAAGAAAATGTTCAATATTCCCAGGAACCTCATAAGGCATGGGGCAACTAGGCCCAGCATTTCGGCTTCGGTAGGGGCCTCAAGATCATAATCCTAATAGTTTTAGTGATCGAATGTTATTCCCGGGCATAATCTTCAAGAAACTTGGACGTGAGACTGCATTACGTAATGATTGTCGTTCAGTGGCGTAACGTGCACCCCCGCAATCCCTTCAACGCGGGGGCCCAAAGCCTGACTGCCTCCAAGTACCTAACCATTAGTAAAATCGCACTCGGAGGCCCAAAACTTGACTTTGCAGGGGGCCTAAATGTTCTCCGTTACGCCACTGTCGTCGTTCATGTCTAGTCCTATGCACATGTCTAAGACTAGGACTAGACATGTCATGATTAGACACCACCAAAATTTATTTAGTCGAAAGGCAGCAGTCACAGTTGAATTGGTTTTTGCCAAAGTTTGTGATTTGAGCACACGTTGTTGTGTACTACCGTTTGTATGAGTATCTTCTATACGTATATACTGTACTTATAAGGGTCGCAGGGGGAGCATACTTTGCATAGGAGCTCAGGGCCTCAAAAAGTCTTAAGATGTCCCTGAGTATGCCTCATTTTGTTTTCTAACACTTGGTAAAACTTGGTCTGGAAATGTGTTATGGAATGCGGAATAATTTATTGTGTAATATTCTTATTATGAATTATTTCTTGAAGACTTCAGCTACTGAAACCAAATTACGACATATTTGCAATAAATTAATATCACTAATAATAAATAGTGATTCATTAATATCACTACTTGACAATTTTTTTAACTACATTTAATTTTGTTCTTAGCCAATTTTATTAGATTAATATCTTCGTATGAGGATAGAAATAAATTTATATGATAATATTAAAGCATTATGTTTTAATTATACTGATGGAATATGTGTAAAAACTTTCAGATGAAAAATCCGTTATTTCCTTGAGGATTATTTTAATCTGTTATTGACAAACCCAGACAAGGAAAGTCTCGACTATTTTAAAATATGATTACCGTCGGAACACATAGATAAAAAAAATCTTACGATCCAGTCGTGAAAACAAATAAGTTGATACGAGGCGTTAAAAAAACATCCGACTCATAAACGGGGAAAAATGGCGTACGTAGAAGTTCGAAGAAAACAGCATTCATTAGTGCTTTTTCACAAGAAACTATTTACTTATCTTATTATATCGTGTCATACAAATTTTTTACGAAGTTGATAAAAATAGAAGAATCAAACCAGTTTTAATGAATTTTTTAAATACTCAACTTAAAATTTTTATTCGCAGAGCAGTATTGCATTAACGAAGAGGAAAAGCTACGTAAAAATTCTTTTTCTAGCATTAGGTAAAACTCTTCATTCATTGCTAAATTAACATGTTTTATGGAATACAAAATGGGTTCTTATCTTTCTTCTGCTAATTTATTGATTGCAGTCATTTTTAATGATATGGAATACAGCATTTATAAAATTTACAACTTATTTTTGATGAACGACAGTTTGTTCTAAACGCCATCATTGATAATTACAACTTCAAAAAACTAATAGGTAAAAAATAGACGGAAGTAAGCTTTACAATCTCTTATCTGCCATTAAAGGTTCACGAATAGTTTTGAACTAGAGATTGTGAGCTCGATGAAGGTTTGAAAATAACGAGACGTGAGGCTAAAAACAAGCAAAAAAAAAATCGACAAAGCAATGAAAACTGTATTGCACGTCTAATCAATCCAGTTGAGTCTTCAAGTATTCTTATGGTACGTCGTAAATTTTTAAAAGGAAATTTCCCAAATGCAATTTTTGGTAATTTGGAATTTTGTGGTTTATCCTATAACCTTGCATGTAACCCTGTAATAATTCTAATGTAATGCTAGTCAAATTATTACAAGCTTTTATTTAACTTGCAGTGTAAAATGTTCGGGTGGAATCTTGCAACTCAATTTTGAAGCTGATGTCTTCAACCGATTGAGCTGAAATTTTGTATACACTTTTAGTTTGGATGACAATGCATGTTTTGATTATTTATATTCCGATATCGCAATTAGTTAAAAAGATATGAATTAAAGTAATTTGTTCGGGTGGAATCTTGCAACTCAATTTCGAAGCTGTCTTGAACCGATTGAGCTGAAATTTTGTATACACGTTTAGTTTGAATGACAATGCATGTTTTGACGATTTATATTCAAATATCGACCTAGTTACTGTAACGATTTTTGTTCGGGTGTAAAGGGGGGAATGCTTACAATAAAAAAAGGGGGGAAACCCGGGGGTAGCTCAGATGGTAGAGTGCTCGCTTGGCATGCGAGAGGTACGGGGATTTTCCCCCGCGCCCCCAATTATTTTTTGTGTAAAATTTTTTTGAAACTCTTTTTGATTTTTATAACGAGATATTTTACAATGCTTCCCTTTTTGCATATGTACAAAGTATGTTATACTAGTTTTTTTTAAAGTTTTTTTGGGACGGGGAAAAAAAAAAATTAAAAAACAATTTAAGGATAACGAAAATTTTTTAATTGTTCATTTTTGTTTTTAAAAAAAAACGCATATCTCAGCTGAACGAAAAAAAAGAAAAGGGAAAAAATTAAAGGAAAAAATTTTTTTTAAAAAAAAAATTTTTTTTAAAAATTTGTAAAAAAAACCTTTTTTTTTAAAATTTTTTTTTATCAACTTATAAAATCGTTACACAATTTATGATATGCTTTCCGAGATTTAAGTACTCATATTTACTTAGTTTGAAAATTTTAAAAAAATTTAAAAACAATCAGATCCGTTATTTAATTTGCTTGTTTATTCAAGATAAATCTCGCGACAAGCTTTTTATATCATAAATTTTTTGACTTTTATAAGTTGATAGCAAAAAAAATTTTTTAAAAAAAAAGTTTATTTTTTTTCTTTTTTTCCCTTTAAATAAAAAAAAACTTGTTTTTCAAAAAGTTTTTTTTTACTTTTAATTTACTCTACTTTCATTTTGAACAAATATAGAACAGTTCACCTTGAGAGAAAGGAACACGTAGAAAAAAATCCGAGTAAAAACACTTAATTTTTCCTCATTTTATTGCTTTCTCTCTGCTGACGGAAATAAGACTATCGTCATTAGACCCAAAAAGTTTTTAGTGAAACTGCTAACAAATTAATAAGCAGATTAAGAGTCACAGAAACAATCCTTTATGTAGACCCTAAGCTTTCAGTCTCTTTTGGACTCCCATTAATCTGCTTAATTAGTCTGAATCATCTTTAGAGAAAGGATATTTTAAGAGGAAAGGAGGCTGGTAAATTTTCGTATCGAGTTCCCTTTCCATGTGACTCTGCATGCATACCTCTAGTAGAATTATCTTTCAGGATTTCAACTTTTTAAGGTTGGTGTCCTCCAATTTTTCCATTGATCTCGAATGGTGTTAACCATTAATTCATGAAATTATACCATCATTGTGTAGCATAGTATTGCTGCAAATTTGCGTAAGTGAAAAGCAGCTGGAGAGTCCAATTATTTGAATTACAGAATTAGTAATGGACAAGGACGAAAACATGACTACACGAAGACAAGTCGACGTATATACACAAAAAGAAATTATATATGCCGTAAAATCCGGCGTATAACGCGCACCTATACTTTCAAGCTGAATTTTTTAATTTTAAGGTATATTCGCCGTATAACGCGCACCCCCTTTTTAACAAAGAAATACGAAATATTAGTATACATTGCTCTTATGTTTTGAAGTTATTTTTCCGATGTATTATCCCAGACATTTGAAAAAATAGTATATTTCTAGAACTACAACTCTTTTTTAGTTTATAAGGCAAGCCAATTCTTTAAAACAAACATAATTTCCATATATATAAAAGTAAATTTTTTTATGCTCATCTCTTTTGTTATTTTTAAAGCTATTGTTTTTATACCCGGCGTATAACGCGCACCCTTAAATTTCGATCTCATTTTTGTGTTCAAAGTGCGCGTTATACGCCGGATTTTACGGTATATATATATATATAATTATTAATAACAAGCCTTACAATTCTCCAGAAAGGGCTCCCTAGAACAGTTCTTGCTAATGGAACTGTTCTGACGTCTCTCTGTCTTATCGTAATCAACACACAAGCAGATTCTGATCTCGACCTTTATTCCAAAGGTCCCTAAAGTGCCTCATGGAAATTTCCAGAAGAGTTAATCCCAGAGATTTCTCCCCGGTTCCTTGGCAATATCATGAGGCCGTGGAAGTGTAGTGGTCAAGGTAATTGACGGACGGCCGGCGTGTCGTAAGTTCGAGCCTTATTCCGTTGAAGACCCGTCGTGCAGAGGAGGCCAATACTCGTTAAATATTTTGAGGCTCAAACGTCCTCCCGTTGGTTTGGTGGGGAAGTTAGGAAAGGGGGTTTCCAGATTAAGTGTTGTCCTCGTCATCTGACCATAGTTTAAAATTTTTAAAATTAAGAGGTCCGTCGCTCGAAGCCTTCGTGTTGCCGAATAGTGCGACGGTAATGTTCATTCACTCACTAGGCTTTATCATTTTTCGCCAAATTTGTCATCAAGACGATGAAGTTGCCAATCTGGTAACTTAAGTCACATTTTCTAAGGCTGCCATAAAATCGAGGATTTTTCTAAGTTCATGCTGGGAAAGCAACACAAATTATCTCAGTATCTATATAAATGAATGGCCATTAATTATAATTAAGAATTGTACCTGGCTTGATAAGTACTTGAGACGATTCAGGGATCATTTTAATAAGCCAAAAATTTTCGTACAAGAACAAGGAATATATATAAAAAATTTAAGTCAATCCCTACTTGGATCAACAAAAGAATTTTTATTTTAGCTACTTTTTATTAAATAGTTACAATTAATATAAATACGTATATGCACATGACAGAATCACAACATTATAAGTGGTAATTAATTTTTATTAATTATCATTAAAGTATCGTATTGTCATCCAAAACAATCGTGTATACAAAATTTCACTTCAACTGAATGCTTTAAAACGTGAGAAAAAAATCTTTTGTTTTGACTCAAGTCGCTAAAAATGAAACCAATGTGGTGCTGTATCTGTAATTATTTAAATAATTAGTTTCAGTGAATTAATTTTAATTAATTATATTTAAATTATTGTATTTTTATTCAAAACAATAGTGTATAGAAAATTGCAGCTCAAACGAGCGCTTTAAAATGTGATAAAAAACCTTTTCATGTTTTGACACAAGTCGCCAAAATAGTCGCTAAGTTCCAAAAATGATGCCAACGTAGCTGTATTTGTAATTCTTTGAATAATTAATTTTAATCAATTAATTTTATTAATTATAATTACTGTATTGTCATCCTGAATAATCATGAATATAAAATTTCAGCTCAATTGAGCGCTTTAAAATGTATTTTATTAAGGATTGAAAATTGTACGAAGATAAATAATTATATAGAGAGTGTGAGCTAATAGTACAAATTGAGTAACACGAATGTAATATCATATCATAGCATTATTAACTGCATCAGAATGATGCTTTTCAATGCAAAGTTTTGAATGTCTTATATTTGAAATCAAATAGTAGAAAACGAGATCAATGTATTACTGTCAAAATATGATTTATAAATTCCCAACATTTTTGTGTGCGACATCATCAAAAAATTACTCTAATTTAAATTAATATTCTTCCGGTAAAAGGGTTTATTTCAAAAACTGTATCTTGAAATTTTCTTTAAATCTTGTTCGCGCATACGATGACAGCATTCGGCGATATCTTTCGTTTTGATGAAATTGGATGATGTGATACGCAAGTACTGAGAAATGAAACGAGTTTTAGTTGAAAAACACATGTATGTTAGTATAATGAAGGTCACGACTTTTTAGTTGATAGAATTCCATTGTAGTACCTTCAAAGTTTCTTTGTGAACTAGTGATAAAATTCTTAATATGTCGAACTATGCTTGTGTATATGTATATTGGTGCTTTCTTTTTTTAATAACATAGTGAATTGTAGCTTTTACGTAGTATATACGATTGGATTTGATTTTGAACCATGTGTACATTCAAATTGTTTTCTTGCAGGGCCGCTCCAAGCACAGTAGATGTCATTAAACCGTTCAAATTAGGTGGTAGAGGAGTCTGCATGAGTCCTTTACCAGAATTCTCTTCGATAGCAGCTAATTCTCCTCGTAAGTATATTATTCCGCTACTATTTACATCGAATCCTTTATTAATTTTTTTATTTAATAGATAAAAGTTGATGAATAAAAATAGACCATTGAGATTAAATTTTAAATTGGTTTAAAATAAAAATTTTGACAACGGCTCATTCAAACGTAGAGCAATAGTTTACTGTTAAGATTTTCGTTAATAGACGCTCGTGGTTTTTCTTGCCCCTATGTTACTTTAAAAAAGTATTAATTTTTTTTTATGGTAAATAAACCTAAGACTGAATATTGGAAGTGCGAGTTCGCGTTACCATTAATAAAGAGTAAAATACGTTTTTGCATAGAGAATTTTCCTTGCAAAATTTATTTTACCACTCCAACATACAGAGACAAGATATTGGGATGTTTCATAACACATAGGAAACATTGTTCCCCTTTCAAAAAAATAATTTCTGTACTAAAATTTTCTTAGTTTTTTTTTTTAGAAGTTCTGTTAATAAACCGAACTGTTACAGTAATTTTATAAACAAAAATTTATAATTTTATTAAATCTCAAATTTTATTAATTTTACTGAGAAAGTTATTGACAAATTATTCATGATATTTATCTTTTTGAACTACTGTCTTGCATTTTATAATGTAGCGCAATGCTATAGGCATACGATTACAATCAATTACATTACTTTGTTAGGAACGGGGTAAATTCATGTGATGTCATAATCACATTACGACTATCACATGTCTCCAGCCAATCCATTTCGCAAATTGATATGACGTCATAGTCGCACTGTATCCCAGCTAATCAGTTCATGCGTTTCGCTGTTGCCAACTTATGCTTTTTGCCAAAACTTTCTTTTAATGAAGAACACGTAATTGTCTTTATCATGTGACTGTCATGATTTTGTTCGTTGAAACTAGGATGCTTACCTTTGAGGAAAAAAGAATGATAGTCGCTTAGTAATTGCGGAATCTCGGTACTTAAGTCTGTTCATGTATGCTCACATAAAAATGAAAACAATACTTCGCCATACATGTCACGGAATTGCTAATTTCGAAAATTCATGCAAGACATGTGTACTTTTGAATATTTTTGCCATATTTAGCAAATAACTAGCCAAAGGACATATTCAAACTCTCAGGTTAAATGGCTTTTTGAAGAAAAACGTCAAATATTATCAGCCAATTTAAGTTATTATTGTGTGCATACAAGCGA